CAAATAATCCAAATAATCTTTCTCCAACACATTCATCAAATTCAAGTCAATCATTTCATCATTCATTATCAAATCGAGCTAGTCAATGTCCAACACCAGTTCGATATCGACATCGAACAACATTTACACAAGAACAATTATCTGAACTTGAATCAGCATTTGGTAAAAGTCATTATCCAGATATTTACTCTCGAGAAGAATTAGCATGAACAACAAAACTAAATGAAGCTCGAATACAGGTTTGTCATTATCAACAGATCCTATATTCAACATTTTCTCATATGATTGACAAGCATAAAAGGAAGTATTTGATGATGTATCCGAAGTGAATACTCGCACACACATATACATAGTCTAATAATTGAATTATGAAGGCTCACGCCGTCCTCGTGTAAGAATAGATTTCTAATGTGTATATGCAGTCGACCGACAAGAAACTACTACATCAATACACGAGAGAGAGGGAAAAAGACAAGTCGTCGTGTCGATTAGCACGTGCATTGACAATTAAATGGTTTTAATTGAAAAATAGATAAGCAAAAAAAAGTTCTGGATATTTATTTATTTTTTCTCATTCTTCTTCGAAAAGGTTTGGTTTCAAAATCGACGAGCAAAATATCGAAAACAAGAAAAACAATTATATGAAGCGTTATCACGTGTTCTTTCACCATGTAATGCAACGATGAGAAATTTTTATCAAACATCTACTGGAAGATCTTATCAATATGGTACATCAACCAATAGTACAAATAATATTGGGGTGTGGGTGTGAGTGTATCTTTATCTTCTTCATTCACCCACACCCACACCCATACCCATACCCACACTCACACCCACCCACACCCACACCCACACCCATACCCACGCCCACACCCACACCCACACCCATACCCACACTCACACCCACCCACACCCATACCCACACCCACATCCACCCACACCCACACTCACACCCTCCCACGCCCACGCCCACACCCCACACCCACCCACACCCACCCACACCCATACCCACACTCACGCCCACGCCCACCTACACCCACCCACACCCCACACCACACATCCACACCCACCCACACCCACATCCGCACCCACCCACACCCACATCCGCACCCACCCACACCCACATCCGCACCCACCCACACCCACACCTCACCTACACGCACACCCCACACCCACACCTCGCCCACACCCCCACCCACACTCACCCACTTACACACTCATGCCCACACCGACCCACCGACCCACAGACACATCGACCCACACCCCACACCCCACATCCACACCCTATCCACATCCCAGATCCATACCCACAGCCTTTTATTCATTCATTATAGTGAAATGTTGATTAATAACTGCAATTTTGTTTGCTAATAGCCATTTCTAGATTTTCGTAGAAAAATTGGAATGATGAAATCAGTTATAATGAATAATGAACACACATGTGAATGGGATTTTGCAATGTTCAATGGTTAGAGATGAAACGTTAGAAATAAAAAACTTTTAAAGAAAGTGTTCAGTTTGATTTTAAACATTGTTTGTATCCTTCGCATTGTCTTTCTTCTTTAGCACAGGTGATTCTACAGGCTCTTGAATCTCTTCTTCCAAAAAATATTGATTAAATTTGCCCCACCATTTATTGAAATGATATGCAATGTTGTGCCATTTTTGATGATTGTTGTCGTATACTAAAACAGTGTGTCGGCGTCGCTTGAAGCAGCAAAAGCATTTTGACTCTTCCCATTTTCGGCAACAATTAAAACAAAATAACATTCCAAGAAAGCGTCTGATCTGTAGACGAAGTATTTCGTAGTCGGACAATAAACTGTACCAAACTTGATAGAACCACAATGTTCCTTGGTCTTTTAATGATGGAAGTTCTCCCACAGCCAAACCTTAAAAAGACACATAATAGGAATGAATTCAAGTGATCGTAAGATTTTTACAATGTAGCATGTTCAGAAAGCAATATGCTTAGATGTAACCTTACCAATCATCAAATTGACAATAAAAATAGGCAATACGATGCCCGCAAGTATGAACATGAAATATAGCAATCCATAGCGGCCAGTATTTCCACTATCAGCTCCAAATATTCGATCTTCGTAGCCCAAATCAAATAACATTATACTTGTGCGAACGAGTGACAAACCAATTGTTGAATATGAATTTTGCGTTGAAAGTAACATCCAAAAGGAAAAACCGAAAGCACAAATAATAATCGCTAAAACAGGCAGGAAGCGTAAAAACTTGACAAAGATTAATTGAAGCATGACAACGTATATTCCTATATCAAAAATGGGGATGTATTGAACATAGAAGAGCAAGTTCATCCATGCCAGTAGGACGCCGAATGATCCAAGTTGATATTGAATTGAACAACGAAACATGACAGGTACTAACCAGCTGTACCAATCATATATATAGACAAACGCAAGAACGAACGCGGCCAGTTCAAAATAGCAAGAAATTACTCGAAGAAATCTGGGAAATAGAGTTAAAATGAGAAAGGCATTTTTGGCAATATAGGTCAACATTAATATATAAACACCCCATCGAAGTTTTTTGTAAGCGTCTGGTTTTTGTGCGTCCGCATTGTTGATAAGAGTTTGAGCCACTAACTCACATATACTCCAACCAGCGGTTGCATTATAGCCAGCATCTGAATAAAATTTGTCTGGATGTTTACCACGGGTTACAATCGCCGTGTATACGGCCACAAAACTTGTATAGAAACCAAATGAAAGAAGGAATAGCCAAAATCCAAAACGATAAAACTTCTTCCTGCATAGTTCAGTCATATAGGGATGTGAGATAAGATCTATGGGGGCTGCGTCTTGAGAAGCAATGAAGAGAGGATGATTTCGAACGAGAGTGTACGAATCGTCAGTGTACGGCTTTGACTTCGAGTTTTTAGTTTTCCGTTTACAACTAGCACGGCAGCAGCCATATATCGCTTCAACACCGAGATGATCACATCGACCTGAACACGTATCCAACTCGGGATCGGATATTTCGTATTCATACCCATCTAAAATCAAAACGGTTCATCGTCATTGATGAATAGAACAAAAAAACTTGATCTACATTTTTTTATTGCGTCGAGTTCAATGAAAATTGATGAAAATCAATTGAATCATTCGGTAAGATCTACTCAAACTAGGAAGCTCTGACAGAATATGCGAGATGAATAATACTGTGATAAATTGAGTCCATTGATTCACCATTAGAAAGAGCTCATCAAATTGTATCAAACTCGATAAGAATCAGTGGTTGACTGTTTGCTAGTAGGTCTTCCTATGAACACTTTTTATGGTCTGTGCAAGACTTTAGTAAGAGTCATCGATAAAGTAATAGGTCATGTCCAACAAAAATCAATTTGAAACAAATTAAGATATATAACATATCCAATAGCTCTTTTAAAGCTTTGCAAAATAATAGTATTGTATTGAACTGAGCTGCATGGGAAAGTACTTCATATAGTAACTTAATATTCATGAGAACCAAAAAACCTCACTTGGGACTCATACTGGTTAATTCCAGTAATAATAATTATGAGTGTGAAGTGTGGGTGTGGGTGTGGGCCTTCACGTCTACACCCACACCCTTTCCATGCAATTCAGTACAATAGAATAGTGCTATTGTGTTGAGTTTTACAACAGCTATCGAGTGACAGTTGTTAGAACCGGTTTCATACTGTCTACAATTTCTTAAATATGGCATACTATAGTGTCTATGGCTTCCATAGACGTACTTTTCTTTATAATGCACATGAGTTTCTTAACTTTCTTGAGCAAGAAACTCATGAGACAAAGACACTTCTGGAGGTATGCACATGTCAAGTGCATGAAAAAAAACATTTCCTAGGTTTCTACGGCAGTCTTGTATAGGTAAATCAAAGTATTTTTAGAAAGATTTATTACTATTTAAGCAACTACAGAATTTTATAGAGTTCGATATAATTTGATGAGGTCTTTCTAATGGTGAATTGATGGACTGAATTCGTCAAAGTATTCATGAAATATCGACAAAATATCGTCTCTATTTCGGCATGTTTATGAAATAATGTCAAAAGATTTTCGATACTTCTTAAAGTGATCACAAGTACGATCCATTTAGCGTGAAAATAGTATCAAATGATTCTTCACGATGTTTCATCTAGGACTACATAGCTTTCAGTGGAAATGTAGAAGCGGATAAATTTGTTTTGCTATGTGTCCCCATCTTTTAAGAGTTTTACCTTTCTCTCATAAAAGAAGATTCAAACCTACTGCCAACTTTCCTAAGATTTTGGAAAAAACCCTTCTCGATTATCCTCCTGAAGAAATCGTATTGGAGCTTTGTAGAATGTTATTTTTTGTAACATACAATACCTTGAAGATGCCATTTTTTGACTCTAAATTCATCTTCGAAGAATTCATAATCGTATATTGTCTTGAACACTTGTTGGTCTTTTCCACCAACTATTCGTGTCAATTTTTTAGTCAATAGGTCAGCAGTGACATAAGGCATGTGTCGAATTAACTTTCGCATAGGAGTATCGTATGCACATGTATCTTCAATTGGTTGAGCGTTGCACATCATGTCATGCCACGATTCATGTGCAAGGAGAACGTCGACAATATCTCGATGATGATTAACAATGGCAACTTCAAGACAGTTGTAGAGTTGATAGTCACGTAGTGTAACCAATGCTCGTTGTTTGAGCAAATATTCGACAATGTTCTTATGACCGTGTTGGCAAGCCAAATGGAGTGCAGTACGTTTATTTGTATCAACTCGATTTAGACCACACGGAACCCTGCTGAGAAGGAATTGGACTACCTCAAATTTACCTACGAGTTATTGGAAAAGAAACTCAACAGCTTTCTCAAAAGAATTCTGTGAATCTTACCTGCAGCTGCAGCTATATGGAGACATGTTGACAGACTATCATCCGGAATCAAGAGTGATGCATATGGATCTTCCGAAGGATTGTTAATATTTTCCCATAAATATTTAATCATTTCGAGGCAACCGGTTTCACTTGCTTCATGAAGAGCTGTTCGACCTCGACGATTTTTGTGCGATGCCATATTAGGTAGGTCTTTAAAAGTATCGGCATAGTCAACAAAGCGTTCACAAATGTACTTTGAATAGTTCGAGCGAGCCACCAAATGAAGAGGCAAATCGCCTTCAATGTCTGGAGTCATAACAAGTATCCTTTTTGTGCCACCACCTAGATGATTCCATATGAGATCGAAAATATTGTGTTGGACCATTCGTTTGATGCAAACGTGTAACACAGTCTCGCCATCGTCATTGACAGCAATGATGGGCTGTGTGTTTGTTTCCTGTTATGTTGAAAGGAAACAATGTTAATGAACTTTGCGAGGTTTACTTCTCATCAACGATTTCCTGCATCATTACAGATCAACGAAATTATGTGGAAAATTGTCATACTGCCCTATCAATCTTCGACTCTAGCTGCTGTAAGCATGCAAAATACTATTATGTTTTGTTCTTTCAAAAATGGACATTCTCAAATCTTGAATTTAAAAATTAACCACTTAGTATGACTGTTTTCCACCCTTTTTTAATTCTATTATTCAAGTTTTGTTTCAGGGTTCTATGTAATCTTCCAAAAACTAGAAATGTTTTTCGCCGACCACATTGTAAGCATTATACCAAGTAGACATTTCTCTACAGAATAAAAGTCATTACTCCTGCTTGTAAGCGTATTTTATTGCCACCATATAGGAAAACAATCTGTATGTGGGTGTGGGTGTGGGTAAGGATGGAATCAAGATCCATACCCACACGCGACACCCATATTGACACTTATACCCAAATTTACACCTTACCTACACCAACACCCGCGTTCCATCGACATACACACCCACCCTTAAACAATATCCGTTTTTTTCTGAAGAGAAAGAATGGTACAAAACTGGCTCTCTCGCATGACTGTGGATCCATTTCAAGTCGAAATTTCTGAATCATACGTCAATCGATTGAGTTAGGCATTGGCTTCACGATGGACTAATCGTTGTCTCGACCTCTAGTCGCAGAGATCAACTCTCTCCCTTCGGAAAAGACGATTACTGTTAAAGTATTCTGAAACTCTATCATATAATTTCATTCACGAATTTGAAAGTTCATCCTCACAAATAGAAGAGAAGACGTTTAGGAATATCCGTTCATGGGATCCGAAAGCGTACCACGTGCTGTTACTGAATAAAAGACAATATTGAAAAAATAAGATCAGCTGATCGAATACTGTTTTGAACATCTGTATGTTTTTTAAATTTTTATTGAAAAAATATAACTGATAATTATTATAAAATTTTTCATCGAGCTATCTATTCGCAACAGGGATTCTCTTGTAAGATCAGGGGTTTTTGTACATACATGTAGCTTGAGCAAGTGTTCGACACATTTTTCGGCGCCATAGTGGATTGCTGTGAGTAATATTGAGTTTATGTCGAAAGATTTCGATGTAGCTTCGCAAATATTAAGAATCGGATCTATTAATTGTTCAGCGTTGTAACGAACAACTGCATTTAATGCCTTGGTAAGATTAAATTGTGTTGGCTCCATTTTTTCGTTGACTACGTATGATATCATCTTCAACTCTTTGAATTGCCTTTCCGCAGCCACTTCCAAGGCTTCATAAACTTGATCATTAAGATTGTTCATTTCAACATTCTTTACTTCAAGCAATTTGTCAATATGGTATTCGGTACTGTATGGATTACAAATGGCATAGACCAGTGGAGTTCGATTTTCCAATGTACGTGACTGGATGAGCCATGAACGATACTCTTCTGGTGCAGCCTTGCATAAGTTATTGAATACATCATCGAGTCTTTGCTGATGTGAGGAGACATTGTCACGAGTATCTTTCCTCTCTGAATCAAAAGGTTGTGGCATCTCGATGGAGATATGATCATGCATGAAGACAAAATGGAAAACGTTTGCATTCATTTTGTTGGCTATCTGAGAAAAATTTAAATTCGAAGAACAATTCGTAACTTCCTAATATTGGAACGTGCATGGTCTTTTGCATACCTTGATCATGCTGGGCTTGCAAGAAAGCAACTTATGGACTGCACTTGAACGAGTATACAATACAGCCAAATGAAGTGGAGTACATCCTTGGTTGTTTTTGTGTCCAATTTTCACACGAAGTTGTATTAACTTCTCTATAAGATCAGGTAGGCCAACGTCACTTGAGTCTGTGTCCTAACCGACAGATGTTAATAGAAAGAAAATGAAAAAAAATTGTTCTTAATTTCCTCACCCAAATTTTTTTTGATTCCATTGCGACATGAAGCACATTTTCACCTTGACCTCCGAGAATATTAACATCTAAATGAGCATGGTCGACACTGCTTGTAGACTTTTGATATTTTAAAAATTCTACTGTACGTACCACATTGCCATTGTTTATCCTCCTCAGACTTGTTTGTTAGTTTGCCGAATACAAATATATTCTTGTTCCACACGGCATAATGTAACGCTGACCATTGACGTTGTTCATCCAAATTTTTTATCAAATTGCTTATCTCAATGGAATTCAAATGATCTTTATTGACTCGTCTTTCAAAACATTGCCAGACTTTATTAGCCGTTATCTCATCTGGTGCAGCTGCAGCCTACATAGTATGAGTCGTAAAATGAGTGTCAATATTACCGACAAGAATCTCACGTGAAACAAAAGCTGTTGAGCCGACTTTGAAAGTAACGCATCTGTTGAATTCGATTTATTCTCCGTTACGGGACTGATTTTCGCTGACCGCGCGTTGATTTGGACTCTATGCATTGTGTGCTACGTCTCGTAAAACGAAAAAAAAACGTATGAAAAGAAAGACTGGTCATATCTTTATATATAAGAAAACAAGTGAGTATTTCTTTTTTCATTTCTTATTTTTCCAAAAAAGTTCTCCTTCGTTAGACATTCAGGTTAATAATGATGCGTAGATTTAGATAATCTGATATTCACATATCTGTATGGGTTATTTGTATTCTCGTTGTTATGTAGACGCATGCCTGGATTCACTCTCATGCGCTGTTGCACGACTATTCCTTTTTCCGTGACATCGTCATGTCATGCGATACCTAATTGTCAGTTTGTCTTGACCACCCTCAATTTGTATGGAAGATTCAAAAATTTGACTTGAATATACAAAGAACCTTCAAAGCTTTACGGCACGGCGAATCAAGAACATGATTCTGTTGATCTAACCTAGAGATGGGTGTGGATGTTGTTGATGAGAAGACCAAAACCACACTCACACTCTCAACTGCGAACGTCGCACCACAAGCGTCTGGCATTGTCATGGATTCACTCTTAAATCGTGCTGTAAATGTGTAGAAAGTATGCCCAAGTGTGACGGGAGCGGTAGGAAGCGGACTATTGATTCCCCTCCCACTGGGTAGTGTACGGAAGTCAGATAACAAAAGAAATTTAGAATTTTCGCGAAGTTTTTAAGCCAAATCGTTTTAATTATAAAAAGCGCATAAACTCCTCCTCACAATAGAAGATCCCAAAACTTCCATTACATATAAGCATACAAAGTTTTCAGAGGGTCTTCTATTGTGTCCTATTGATTTGGATAATTTTTAAATTAAAAACATTTTCCGGAAAATCTGAATAATTTTGAGGATTTGGGACGAAACTTTTAGGATGTGAGTAGATATGAAATAATGTTTACCTAAGTCACTTAAGATTTTCAGCTGAACTCTGAAAATTTGGCACATTCTGACGCGTGTGAGTGTGGGTGTGGTGTGTGGGTGTCGGTGTAGGTTTGGGTGTGTGCAGGGGCGGCGCGAAGAGGTCCAAGCAGAGGGGTATCCTAAAATCGGAGAAAGTAGTCTAGTAATTTTCTCCAAATTTATAAAAAATATGTTCCATGCCCGAGTCTACTTAAAAACTACGTGTTAAGACTGCTAATACAAAACTCCCGATTTTTCGTAAAAAATGACGATCCGGGAGGGAGAGCGTGGCAAAAATCCCCCTACTCCTCCTCAAGCCTCATGAGAATTCTCCCTAATTCGGAGAAAGTCTACCCCAAAATTTTTCAAAGCAGGTGGGTGGCTCCCGCATCCTCCCGGTCGCGCCGCCACTGAATGTGTGTGTGGATGTGGGCGTTGATGTGGGCGCTGATGTGAGTGAGTGTAGGCGTGGGTGTGGGGTGTTGGTATTCAGTCTCTCTTCAGTCAACGCCGCACATAACCATACTGTCACATCCACATTCACACCCTCACCATATTTTGGCCTAAGTTTTAAAGAAACAATTGTCGTTTACTCTCTTCTACATCAAAGTTTCGGCTATCGCCAGCTGTTGCCAACTACTCGTTGCCAGCTATGAAAAACTGAGTCCCATAGTCAAAAATATTTCTTGTCCCACACTAATGTTCGAACCTTAGTTTCGCCCTTGTTCATGAGTTACCTAGTGAAGTGATTCCATGCGGATATGGCCTTGGAGAAACGATGCTTTTGCCTCATATGTATATCTAACAGAGGAAGACATTACACACTCTCATGATTTTATTTTCACTTGCAGCTCCCACTCAGACAGATACTATACGTAGCTGCATATATTCTTAGAGCAGAATCGTTCTTCCGCAGTGTACTAATCTACTGTAATGATACATGAATCTGTATGAACCAGACTCACACTCAAATGAACCTTCTTTCAATAAAAATGAATTTAGGAGGATCCCTATGGGATTATAAGTCCAACCATGATAGAGCCACCTTACTTATACGTAAAATTCCTCACAATATTGATCGTGTTGGTGTCAATGTCAAAGGGTCAGAATATCGAAAACGTTTGTCACAGTTTGTAAGACAAGCTTCGGAGAGGGAATTCACTTGTCTTGTTACGTACTTCAACGCTGATTACAATCGTGTTACACAAAAAGCACAACTACTTGTATTTTTGGGACGCTGAATGAACTCTCCGACTGATACCTTCTGGAAGGTCTGAATCACGCGAAGTTCTGATCATATCAGAGACCATAGTGTTTATGAAATTCTAACCGCTTGATTTCATCTAAGAAGGAAATAAAATCTGAGCATAACTTCGAG